GGTTCGGTAATCTTTTTACCGAATATTCGGCTGACTGTTCGTATTCGTTGAAATCTCGATTCGGCCCAACACTATTTTAAATATCAACTCTCGTTTGCAGTGAAATCACAAATTAGAAAGCTGAAATAGTACAGCGTCAACAACTGACCTGTGTGTACGTATCCGTATATTCCAAAAATATTCTGTATTTATTGTAATAAAGATAACACAGCAAAACATCTAATTACAAAACAAACGGAATCACATTTCATAGGTAATTAAATATTAAATGTGTAATTTTTCTATTTTCGTCCATTATAGCAAAGCTCAAGTTAAACTGGCGCTTTGAAGTGAAAGTAATTGACTACACTCGTCAATTGTTTCGAAATCGGACTGGCCAATCGAAGCGCTTCGTCACAATAATGATTAGGCAAATTAGTTTTCAAACAAATTAAATATGTATGCTGACAAGATCAACACTATTTCAAAATAATCGTTAACAACAATCATCAAAATATACAAACAAACAGGCAATCTAAAGTAACAAAAGCAAAATTGGGCAAGATTTATAGATAAACTACTAAAATAAGTCTAATTACATGAAATATTTGGGCTATTGTGTGACTTATAGACAAAAAATAACACATGCGTGTGCAATATAACATTCGATTGATTTGCACTTTTTCTAAAGCCACATCCCTTAATGCTGCAGCGCATTCTTATTAATACTTAATTGTTCTCACTGTCAATACTTTTGTCCATTTTATTACAATACATGCGAATAATTCAATAAAAAACACTTGGAAAGACATTTGTTTTGACATTTGATGTACTTCCCTTTGACAACCGTATTATGTACCGCATGTACTGCGAAATAGACACAGTTGGCATTTAAGACGACGTTACGTATTTTCGATTCCCGTGTTTGGCACACACCAATGTATTATGCTTATCTCTTTTGACTTAAGACGGTACGCGATAGTTAAACAAAAACAATAACATGTTTATGTTTTCGACATCGAAATGCATCATATACACATAACGTCCGATTTATATATGTCAACATAACATGTCCTTTAGTTTCCATAGTCTAAGAGTACATTTAAGTGCAGTTACAGTCTTAGCTTATGTTTTCCAGTGTCAGTGTCACCTGTTTCATAGTTAATGCTTAGAGATGTACGCCGATCGTAAGTTGTAATTGAATTAATTTTCTTTTTTTTTTTTCGATTTTTTCTGATATAAATCTAAGTTCTTCCTCAGACGAACTCTTTTATACGGAGCTCTACTGCTACTGCTGACTGCTATGTAACTTATTATTTGGAGAAAAATAAGTAAAATTGAAAATAAAAGAATTTTTCGTTGGTAATTCGCATATATTTGCTTATTTCAAATAAACCAGTGTTACCAAAATAGAGTGGGCAAACCACATAATAGACGCAAATTGATGAACCTGGAAAGTGCGCCGAAAAAAATTTGAAAAAAAAAATTTTTTCGTGTATGTAATTATCGCGAAAACTTGAGCTCGATGACTAATATACATTATATATATGTACATAAGTGGCCAGAAATTACAATATATACATAATCAACGAATTTCATTGTAATGTGTTATATGTGAGGTCTCAGGTTCGATTCCGGGGCCGTGAGAAACATTTGTATGGCCTACATTTATTTCTCTCGTGAGTTTGGGTGTAATTTGTGATTGTCTGTGTGTGTGTCCATGGCACCCGCGACACAGGGTTTCCCTAGTGTGGGGCTATGTTGAGTGTGTGCCTTATTATTATTATTATTATATTTGAGAAATAAATGAATCAGTATCAATAGAACGTCTGCGTAAAACCCGCTAATGTCATGTCATGCCGATTGTCCAAGATTTGGCAATCGGCGCAATGCGTGATTGCGGTAGATGTACAGAGAGCACGGTCTGGTATGTCGTTGCGAGGAGGCTACTTTCAAGCACCCCGTTTTAAATAAATTACCGTGATCATCTTCTGTATTCTTCCCATTGGTCCAGGTCCTCTACGCTTGGCGGAAAACTGACACAACTGACCCAGAATTCGTGGAGCGTCGACGCGCTGGTCTCGAGAATTTCCTACTGCGTGTGGCGTCACACCCTCGGTTGTGCTTCGACGACCAATTCATCAATTTCTTACAACAAGAACATGGATGGCGGGAAACCATTACTGATAGCGGTATGGACTTGTTGACGTTCAATAATAGATAGTAAAATTGTTTATTTCCTTAATTGAAGACCACACGGGCATTTACTCTATACTATAAAAATTCCCTAACCATTTTATTTCATCGTGTTGGTGATGATAAAGAAAGGGTTGGGTTGAATGGTTGGACATTAAAAAAAGTTGCATTGTTTCTTACACTTTACAGATATGCGGCTAGATGTTCGTAGTATCATTTATGTGTATTATTTACCTTACAGGATATTTATTGCAAGCTGAAAACAAACTTAAATCATTGTCCGTATCGATCAGATTGAAAAAACCTGATCCTGAAATTGAGAGCGTCAAAAACTATGGCAAGCAACTAGAAACTAACTTAGGCAACTTTCTATATACGAGGTAAGTCATGTTTTATTTTATAAAACATTTTAAACTAATTGAGCTGAATAGTTTTCCACACAAAGGCAACCCAATGTTCGAAGGGTATGCTTGACATGCTGCCTCGATTTCTATCGAAAGTATGCCTGACATGCTGCCTCGATTACTATTGAAACCTCTGTAATTCTGTAAGTCTGTAATTTTTGCAATAAGGCATTTTTCTACGATTTGAGAGAATTTGCGCGAAAGAATTGACACAACGATAACGTGCAAAGCAACAATGACGGTCTGTGCTCAAGTAAGCTGAACTACGCGTACAGTTGGCTCGCGCGCAACGCTAACTGTCCACTTCTACTGTATTGATTGTTCTGTGGACGCATCCAACAGGTGGGAGTTGGACTAATAGACTTATTACATTATGTGAAATACTCGTCGTGAGCACACCCCGGACACTCCATACAACGATCGAAAATTATTTACCTACTACTACTACATACAGCAAGGCGCTATCTGCACACGCGCAAATGTGTGCGTGAAGTGGCAGGGTTACCCATCACTTGCTCGTACGTTACGTCACGTTACGTGGTCAGAGCGGTGAACATAGCGAAAATTCTAACACAAATCTGTGATCTTCGAATTCTATTATAGAATCCTAATAATTACACGTGTTCATTACGTATTTATATCGATATAATATTATATTTTCATTTAATTCAATAACTAGAATAATATTGAAGATTTATTTAAAAAATATATTAAAAGCTTTCGACAGGTACCTATAAAAAAGGTAACCAAAGTATTTGAAATTGCGTTGCGTTAATAATTAGGCATATTCACTACGTAAAAGTTATAGGCAATAAAAATTGAAAATTCGAGAACCCGTGTCTAGCTCACGAAGTTATGGCGTCTTATTATATTGATCAAATCCGTATTATATACTCTGCACTAAAGAAAACAATAATTGAATGAGTCTCAGACATAAGTTATTTACTTACTACGTTTCATCTTTTAAAAAACGAAAGAAACTCCTCTCTTTATCCCGTTTAGATGATGATGAACAGCCACACACAGCACAATTCACGACCATTATAAATAGTAACGTAAAATGATGTTATATATTAACGTACAAATTTCGTAATGAATAAATGAAAACTATATTCAAATATCAAAGCCGTCTTAGCGCGAAAACGGCTCGTCGACAGCCTTGTTCTCGTTCAGTCAATGTGACCTTCAATATGCGGGGCGTGGTGCGGTATCTAAAGCTAGGGAGCGGCGGAGAGTGTCCGTTCTCATTACTTATTTGTTCTCTGGCCGTGACGCTAGAAGTACCCATTCAAAATTAAGTAAGGATCATATCTATATTTCAGATCTAAAATAATAGAGAAGAATTATGCGCTTTGTAAACTGCACGCGAACTATGGGAAACTATTCAGCGAGTGGAGCGTCATCGAGAAGGAGATGGGGGATGGACTACAGAAAGCGGGACACTATTTTGGTACTCGATACTTTTTTAAAGTTTTGTCAAAGTCAAATAATCATTTATTCCATAGGTACAATTGTTACACTTGAAAACGTCATTTTTTTAAGCTACTGCTCGTTCATTACCCTAACCTTTCTGAGAAGAACAAGCAAGAAACTCTAGTGATTGCTCTTTTCAAATAAACTTAAATGCTATAGAATACATTTTGAATCTTATTTGTCTGGAATCTTGACTCACGTTTTCTTTCCATAAATGTTTCATCATCTAACACGTTATGTAATATGACGCTGTAATGCTAATCATCGGAGAAGAAGCTGAGAAAAACGGTTTAGTAGATCAAATGTTTTTACTATCTATGAAATAATTGTATACCAAAAAATATACAATACACTTAAAAAATATTGTCTATGGAATGCGCTATTTTGTGACACGATAGGTTGTAATTTACCCGATCATATGAAAACAGACTCAAGAAAAGTCTAATACTAATTATGTCAAAATTTACAAGATTTTTTTATATGGAGATATTTCTCTTTAAGTACTGCAGAGAACCTGAGTTAAATTTAGGTTTTCAAGTTAAGCCCTATAGTTATTAATTTACATTTAACCCAATACTTGTAAATTGCTAGCGGCTTAAAGCGTTGCCCGTTGCCCCGTCAGTCACCATCGGGCGCTGGTCAACGTCGGATCTATGTCAAATGTTCTCCGCCTGTTACTATTTAATCATATCAATTTTCAGCGTGCGGATTGGGACGCACGGGCGGCTTCCTCACGCCTCACCTAAAATCGCGCGTTGAAATACTTCGCCTTAACAACAGTGCTTTCCACATCCAATTTATCCCCGTCATTTTGACGAGCTCGCCAGTACTAAGCACTGTTTGCCTGCCTATGCTTCTGTATTCTTCTCTGATGCTCTCAAGGCGAAGGCACCTGCAGCTATCTTTTATTACTATGTTGACGGTGTCTTTACGTGTCGCCACTGTTTGCGAACATGTACCAGTAAGATTGGCTACTGTAGTCTTGTAATCCGGCTTGGGCACCAGGACGAGCCTTCCCTCCTTCCATCATCTCGGGAACAACCCCGTCCTCAAGCAGTCATCCATGAGATGCTTGAGGCGGGTTCCGAGGTCCCCAATCTCCGCGGTCCACCAGTACACACTCTTTTGCACGGGGTCCCTCTGACCCTGGGCATGGCCCGCTCACAGACGGCGGTCAAGTCTTCCCTGAACTTGACCGCCCCCCGGGGGCCGTGTTGGAGGCCGTCGTGGGCGTGGTATGGGAGACCCCCATCCGTATGTATTTATGATCGGAGAGGGTCTCCTCGTCCTCCAGGACCTGCCAACCGGATACTCGCGCCGCTACTGAGGGGGTCGCAAACGTGACGTCCACGATTGACCCCCATTTCGCCGAACGCACGTGTTGGCATGGCACCAGTTGCGGATGGGTAGCCCTAAGACTGCCGCCCAATTCTCCAACTCTGGCCCCCTGGCATTGCTGACCGGGGAACCCCACGCGCTCTTGGCGTTGAGGTCCCCCATCAACAATACCGGCGCCGGAGCTGCCCTCCTCACCGCCGTCTCTAGGGTCTCCAGGAACGCCTGAAATTGGGCTCCATGACATGAGCGATTTGGAGAGAAGTACCCCCCAATTAGGGTGATTTCTCCTCACCTCGCTGCCACGAACCCTGACCCGCGCTCCTTCACCACTAGATGGGGGAGTTCCCGGCAGTCGACGCCACTATGACCACCGTCTCCTCCCGATCCCCCGCCCAGTTTCCCCGTGGGGGAACAAAGTATGGCTCCGCCACAACCGCCACCGCAACCCCCCACTCGGCAATGGCCTGCACCAATAGGTGTTGAGCCCTGGCGCAGTAGTTGAGGTTGCCCTGCAGTATTGTGTGGTGGCGTGCTGGCAGACTGGAGGGCCTACCCCACTAAAACCCCCCCGGGTTTCCCTCTCATCTAAAAAAAAAAAATCTCATATAAAGACGGATTCTACAGTATTCGCGTCATAATTGGGGAGATGGCTTAACAATTTTGTTTGAGAGCAAAAATCATTCTATACGACAGTAAGCGGCTTTGATTGAGTATTAAATGTGACAGTAAAGCCTGATCAATGCTAATTTACTATGGTAAAGCGTATTCTTCAGCATTTCTGCCCAAGAAAGGGAGGCGAACTCCGCACACTATAGCATTCGTGTCAAGTGCGGTAAGCAAATGCAAATGCATTGCTATCCGTGAACGTGTTAATGTCAATTGTTAGTTTGTAGAAAGGAAATATTTTGTTGAGTAGAAATACATGTGTTCGCCTTGAGAATTTATTTGATACTAACTTATTAAGTCGTATTAAATGTTATGCGAGTAAAAATATCTTATAATGCACAAAACTGTAGAGCGTGCTCGTACACATTAATCTCTCGGACATTACAAAAATTCACACGCCCGGAACGCTTCCGCGGCTGCCTCTGTGTAGCTAGAGCATAACACTGCCAAAAAAAAATTAATGGCACAGCGCCCAGTTTCCCACACCAATTTTCTTTTCGATTCAAATTCTGTATTCAGAATGTCCACCCTTTTCCTCTGGTACCTATGGCATTTCACATCAGATGAAGTAGAGTGGTACTCGTACGCAATAGGGTTTTTTCAGTACACCATTTACAAATGTCCCTCCAACATTTCAGACTCAATAGCAGACAGCATAGACTCCGTAGCCGAGGACGAGGAGCAGCTGGCAGATCAACTGAAGGAATATTTATTCTACGCGGGGGCGTTGCAACAATTATGCAGTAACCACGAAAGTTTGCAGCGAGCCTTGGAGAACGCACAGGACACGTTGGCTAACAGGTAAGAGCATTTTATTATATCGTGTCCTTAGAATTTCCCGATTATTATACATGAAACTATTTTTTCGGATCGCGTTTATTTGTTTTTTCAAACAAACTTACGTTCAGAGGCCCTTTACAGGTCCCATAGGCAGGGCCACAGAACAATAAATACGATAGAAGCATTGACTTACAAATAAATGGACGATGAGTCTAATACAAAAACCACGAAAAAAAGTCCCAAGTCAACCTATTCGAAATTTAAATTGTAATGTCATCGCAGTATCGCGCTGTCAGTAGAACAAATGAAGACTAAAGCGGAGTTTGGCGCTCTGTATACGATTTTAGCGCCTTACAAGTGCGGACACTTTTTAGCGCGGACCCGACGTCCATATAATTGTAAGTCAATGGGTAGAAGTGCTTAGATTGCGTGGAACATTTGCCAATAGTTCACGGAGTTCCGCAAACTTGAGCTCAGACCGCCATTTTTAATTTGTACGTTATGGTCGTGTCAATCATGTCGCGCAAAACCACGAAAATCGTAAAAAAAATGCCATATTACGCTACTTTTGAGTGCAAAAATGATGGTCGCACTTGTAATATTACCTATATAATAATAATAATAACGCACACACTCAACATAGCCCCGCACTAGGGAAACCCTGTGTCCCGGGTGCCATGGACACACACATAGACAACCACAAATTACACCCAAACTCACGAGAGAAATAAATGTAGGCCATACACATATTTCTCCCGGCCTGGGAATCGAACCCAGGACCTCTGCATGACAGTCCGGCATGGTAACCGTTTGGCCACGGAGGCAGTTAAAACCTATGGTGGTCTTTCGTGTCATCATCAAGTCTTATTTTGATAAATTTTAAATTTTCTGTTTATCGTAATCATTTTCTTCTTACACGAAACGAAATTAAACCTTATACCGCTGCAACATGGTCGCTTTTTTTTAAATCTTAGTATATCGTTAAAAGCATGTAGTTTAATCATAGATTGTCACATAATTAATTATATCTACAGTTGCCTTTTTAAGACGGAGTAAAATGTCATTTGCAGTGTTGCCATTTTTCATAAAATATATAGTTGTTGTCGACAGTTTTATCGATAGATTGTAAAAGAAGTAACATTACATAGTAGGTAACATTTTGCCGAAAATATCTAAATTGTGAATACTACGTTCTAATGGTTACTAATTGGGTTATTGCCTTCTTTATTCCTATTTTGACCGTTGGCCTACTACTTTCCAAATAAATTTTTGTTTATATACATTTTGATAAGGACAGGCGAATTTGATTATTTATATTGAATTAAAATGAAAAACTTTAAAACATGTCATATCATAGGTACATTATGTAAACATGTCATATAATAGGTATATTATTAGTCATGTCATAGGTACATTACAATTTTATCAGTGCTTATAGTATTAAATTTGTTTGTTTTTCTCACAGTATTTGTTTTTCTCGCAATATGTGTTTTATATAAATGTGTATAAAATTAATAATGAATGTTCTATGTGCTTTTATGTTATACTCTGTGAAGTGATTGTATATGTTTTGTTTCTACTTGTATTTGTGCTGAACAAAACGTGTTATCTATCTATCTACATGTCACCTCTTTGTATTTTTTTATAAATATAATTCTAAATGTATTGTATTTATGTATGAACAGCGTGCGGTTAGGTATTTAATGTGGTGTTAGTGTTTGTCTGTCAATGTAGTGTAGTTGTATGCAGCAAATACCAACCGCCTGCTGTGCATGAATTTATGGTAAGATAATAACTACTCTATCAGAATCTAACGAAGAGACCTCAAGGGTCGTCTTACGATCTATCAAGTGTAGCCCTACAACCTAATGGTGTGTAGCCTAACCTAACCATAAATATATATAAATGGAGAGATATATAGTATAAGTAAGGAAGTCTGTCACCAGGAGACCTAAGGTGACAAACGGAAGTTGGGAAGGAAGTTAGGATTTACACGTCGTGCGATGTGTACAGGAATGGTTTTCTCACTGCCGGTCAAACAGACTCACAAGACCGATCTACTGATGGCTAAGGGTGTCTTGGCCACAGTGAGAGGAGTAGCAGGTAGCACGTCACTAAGCAAGGAGATGAGTTAAAATCAGATGGTATTGGTTAACTAACTTTATTTACAATATTTACTGACTATTTATACAATATTTGTTTATACTACATTATGATAAGTTTTCTTAGTGTGCATTGGGTGTTATTGATGACTAGGTTGATTTTTGTTAATTGGCATAGTACGTGACTATGCTGCACTTGTTGCATAAGAATGTTCTGTTGATGAGGCTAGTTTTTGTAGCATTTTATTCGAGGTCGCTATGTTGCAGTTTCTTCGTTGGTTATATCATGTTCAACCTTGAACAATGTATGAACTTACAAAAATGGACAATACAAATGAACTTGTGCCCATTAGTTAAACGAATAATGAGTTGATGATAGATCAAATGATACTAGTTCGGCTTTTTATTTGCAAAAGCGTAACCAACATTCAATCGATAGTCGATAGAATATTTATCGACTGCAATCACTAGCTGTACACTTGCGCAATAAACTGTCATTTTACTCCATCTTCAAAAAAGACAGACTGTAGTAATCCTGTTTTTTGCCTAATTAAAAGTTCACATTGATGGAGGTCACGAGGTTTACGAATTTAGTCGACATAATAACCCTGTATATTGTACCTTTATTCCCAGTTATACATCAAAGACGATCAAGTATAACGTGTGTTAAAAGCATTTCGAATTTCAAATACACGTTTCTGTTATTTAGGCTAGCGGAACGCAGTCGCGCTGCTCTTGGCAAATCCGGGCTGATGTCGCGTCTGTTCGGGACCACGGACCCCGACATCGTACGCGACCAGACCACGCGAGCCCTCGACGCCAAGATCCTCGCTGACCGGGAAGCCATCGAAAGGGCCAGCAAGGACTTGCAGTAAGTGTACCTTAAGGTGGCTTCTGATTTCTATGATCGGTGGTTGATGGTGGTATGATAGGTGGCTTCGGATTTTTATGAAGATCGATTGAAGTGTATACAATCTAGCAATTCTTGTATCGAGTCATCTCAATGCGATTTTTGAGTAAATCTATTCAACATTAAGACGAATCGAATCGTCTAGATCCTATTCATAATTTAAATAATCAATACAGCGTCTAAAAAAATCGACCTCAAAAGTACGTGGGATTACGTCTATTTGCTAAGTTTTATTGAAATATCCCCTAGTTCGCCACTATACAGGACTTGACACTGGAGATAATAAAAATCGGTTCTCACTACTCAAAGTATATGGAGAGAAAACGCCTTGAATTGGAGAAATAGCAAAATCAACCATTAAAGTAATTGCTCCTAAATTAAAATTTAGGCGCTATTTATAAAAATGAATCTTCATGCGCGAACAGCAGCTAAGAGGTGGATGATTTTCTTCAAAATGAAATGGGATCACTATGGAAGTACCCCCTTTCCAACAAAAAAAGAATCATGAAAATCGGTTCAAAAATACCGGAGTTATCGCGTAACATACATACAAAAAAAAAGAACATACAGGCGAATTGAGAACCTCCTCCTTTTTTGAAGTCGGTTAACAAAACAGTCTCTTCCTGAACCCCTATTTTATGTTGGCCTGCAAGAAAAGCAGTTCGGCAACACCTAAGTACAATAACTCTACAATATTTGGCTATTCCCGCTACTTCTGTGCCATCTGAACGTCTTTTTTCACTGGCTAGTAAGTATCAGTCTAAAGCATAGGTTCGCAAACTTGACTCGCCGCCCACTAAGGGTCGAAACACACAACTGCGAATCGGCGCGATGCGATTTCGTGCGGCAAAGCATCTCACTGCCACGGTTCGGGTGATCATTCCTTCGACCATCGTCAACCGTACTGAACGTATTTTTTAAACTAGGTAGCGAAGAGTTGCACTGCTTTTATTGATAAGCAATTTACATAAAAACACAAAGAAGTTTAACATCGTAGGAATGCGCGATGCGGAGCAATTCGCAAATTCTTGCGACGCGTTGTGCGAGCATGTAGATTTCTGCGATGGAACGTCGCATCGCAGTTTTGTGTTTCGACCTTAGGCCAGATAAAAAAATTTCAACGTCCACCATCACAAAAAATAATTGAAAACACTTATTTTTTATAATAACTTAACTTAAAAATCACAAGAAAACAAATTATATGTTTGTAGTGTAGTTTATATAGATAGTCCAGTTTTTTTTTCTAATGCAGTAGCACCCCTGGACTGCGTCAACACGTCCAATTGCTCCCGAACGCCCACTAGGACTCTTCAGCGCCCACTTTGGGAAACCTATGCTCTAAATGATAGTCGTAAACCGACTGAAGCCAAAAAGACTGTCAAAATTATTATTTTTTTAAACGAAATTAATTTTGAATCGATTTTTATGAGATCGATTCAAGATCCGATCTGTGGATCGATTCAGAGACATTGATCCATTACGCATATTAAGCAAAAATAAGGATAATTTCTAATTTTACGGTAATGATACCACGCATAGTCGACAACCACGGTCAACCACGCCGCCGTCCAAGGCTCTCCCAACGTTGCGTGTCTCTCTGTGTGGATGCGTGATTCGAAGCTATTTTGTCATTCCCAAACAAAAACGGTACAGAACTTTTGACTCTAAATTTCACGAACGAATTACTGCACAAACAACACTGCTTCACGCTCGGTGTATGGTGTACCTACATGGCATTCTGTTGAACACTTTGGAAGTTTCTTCCATCTTTTTGTGCCATATAATACGTCACCAGTGTATTTATTTTATAGCAAACTGTGCATTTATTTGTTTCAGAGAATTCACGAAGAAGGCGCTAGTAGAAATAGAATATTTTCAAAAACAAAAAGACAAAGACCTTCACGAGTCTCTAGTTGGATTCATCACGTTACAAGTTAAAGCTGCTAAAAAGGTAACATTACTTAGTCTGCGACAATAACTTATATATGGCGACAATGACCTGCCACAGCCTACTCACTTTTCGACACTAAAATACCACCTTTTCGACACAAATGCATGTATGGTGACTAAAGTCGCATAATTAGAACTTAATTGAATATAATCAAATTTTCTTAAGAGTATGAAAGAGACAGTTCGACCCCTCCTACGTAAAGTATCGTATGTCGAAATTGCTAAGTTTACAAGGGAGCGTTTTTTTTCACAACTTTAGTTCTGAATTCACTGAAAGAGTGATCATCTAATAGATCATCATAAATCATCTAACCGATATCTAAGATTTTGTAATACTCTACGTGAGTAACGAGCTTTGCCGAATAAAACTGAGAATTGGTAAAGTAACGTGTTATGCTTGTTTCATTGAATTCAGGACTTTAAAAGGCTCTGCTGTAAACTTGCCAATTTCAACATACAATACTTTACGCAGGAGGGGTCGAGTTGTCCAGGGGCAGTTTTTTCTATGGCAAGGCAACTCGGTGATAAGCAGCTTGTCTCGTCGGACAAAACTGTCCGGCGTTTGGTACAGGAAATATCGTCGGAGTTTTGTAGAAAGGGCCATGCCATTTCGAGAACGAGATGTTTTTAAGGACTGTTTTAAAATTGAATTTAAAACAGGACTTAAATATTTTGAAACATTCGTTGTGGATTAATGTGTTATATTACGCCTCCAATAACCAATTCCAAAATATTAACCACCGCAGAAAAGTGGCCTGCTTGTTAATTTTTCTATCGATTGCATACCTTAGAAGTGTGCTCAGGATTTCCACAACTTAGGGTCGTATTCTAGAACTCTATTCAATGCTCAAGTGAGGATTGCACTGGAAACACAAGTACTGGAAATACGACCCTAATGGCAGGGACTTGAGTATGATTTCGAGTGCTTTAAACCATACTCAAATCCTGACTTGAGCATTGAGTAGAGTTCTAGTATACGACCCTTAGTTCCACCTTTGCCGTTCCTCAATATACAACTCAATATAATATTTTCAACAATGTCAACTACTTAAAATATACTCTTAAGTGATTTTTATTAGAAATAGTTGATTTTAAAATATATTTTTAACGTAGTCAACTAGCTTAAAATATATTTTCAACAGTGTCAACTAGCTTAAA